CTCCTTTTTTTTTTTTTTTTTTTTTGAGGACTTCTTTCCTGGTACTACTTTCGGGTTCATTTTGTTTTCTCCCTCCCATGGCCCAGGAATCAGCTGTTTCTCCCAGGAGCATGCTTCCTTTAGTGGAGAATGGGATTTAAAAACCAGCGGTGTTTTTTCTTTTAGAAAAAAACTGGGATATATGTGCAGAATGTGCAGGTTTGTTACATAGGTTTATGTGTGCCATAGTGGTTTGCTGCACCTACTGACCCATCCTCTAAGTTCCCTTCCCTTACCCCCCAACCGCCAACAGGCCCTGGTGTATGTTGTTCACCTCTCTGTGTCCATGTGTTCTCATTGTTCATCTTCCATTTATGAGTGAGAACATGCAGTATTCAGTTTTCTGTTCCTGTGTTAGTTTGTTGAGAATGATGGCTTCCAGCTTCATCCATGTCCCTGCAAAGGATATGATCTCATTTCTTTTTATGGCTGCATAGTGTTCCATGGTGTATATATACCACATTTTCTTTATCCAGTCTATCATTCCAGTCTATCATTGATGGGCATTGTGTTGGTTCCAAGTTTTTGCTATTGTAAATAGTGCTGCAGTAAACATAAATGCACATGTATCTTTATAGTAGAATGATTTCTATTTCTTTGGGTATATACCCAGTAATAGGATTGCAGGGTTAAATGTATTTCTGGTTCTATATCCTTGAGGAATTGCAATACTGTGTTTCACAGTGGTTGAACTAATTTACATTCCCACTAACAGTGTAAAAGTGTTCCTATTTCTGCACAGCCTCCCCAGCATCTATTGTTTCCTGACTTTTTAATAATCGCCATTCTGACTGGTGTGAGATGGTATCTCATTGTGGTTTTGATTTGCATTTCTCTGATGATCTGTGATGATAATGTTGAGCTTTCTTTATATGTTTCTTGGCCACATTAAGGTTTTCTTTTGAGAAGTGTCTGTTCATATCCCTTGCCGACTTTTTGATGTGTTGTTTGGTTTTTACCTATAAATTTAAGTTCCTTGTAAATTCTGGATATTAGACCTGTCAGATGGGTAGGTTTCTGCCATTCTGTAGGTTGTCTATTCATTCTGATGATAGTTTGTTTTGCTGTGCAGAAGCTTTTTAGTTTAATTAGATCCCATTTGTCAATTTAGGCTTTTGTTGCAATGACTTTTAGCATTTTTTCATGAAGTCTTTGCCCATACCTATGTCTTCTAGGGTTTTTATGGTTTTGGGTTTTACAGTTAAGTCTTTAGTCCACCTTGAGTTGATTTTTGTATCAGGCATAAGGAAGGGGTCTAGTTTTAGTTTTCCGAACATGCCTAGCCAGTTTTCCCAGCACCATTTACTGAATAGGAGCTCTTTTCCCCATTGCTTGTTTGTGGCAGGTTTGTCGAAGATCAGATGGTTGTAGATATGTGATGTTTTTTCTGAGGTCTCAGTTCTGCTCCATATGTCTGTATGTCTGTATGTCTATATGTCTGTCTTGATACCAGTACCATGCCATTTTGGTTACTGTAGGCTTGTAATATAGTTTGAAGTCAGGTAGCATGATGCCTCTAGTTTTGTTCATTTTGCTTAGGATTGTCTTGGCTACACGGGGTCTTCTTTGATTCCATATAAAATTTAAAATAGGTTTTTTCTAATTCTGTAATGTCAATGTTAGTTTATGGGAATAATATTGAATCTATAATTTACTTTGGGCAGTATGGCCATTTTCATGATATTGGTTCTTCCTATCCATGAAGATGGAATGTTTTTCCATTCATTTGCATCCTCTCTTATTTCAATGGTTTCTAGTTCATCTTGAAAAGGTCCTTTACACTCCTTATTAGCTGTATTCCTAGGTATTTTATTCTCTTTGTAGTGATTGTAAATGGGAGTTCACTCATGATTGGGCTCTGTTTGTCTGTTGTTGGTGTAAAGGAATGCTTGTGATTTTTGCACACTGATTTTGTACCCTGAGACTTTGCTGAAATTGCTTATCAGTTTAAGGAGTTTTTGGCATTAGATGATGGGATTTTCTAAATATAAAATTGCGTCATCTGCAAACAGAGACAACTCTATTTCCTCTTTTCCCATTTGAATGCCCTTTATTTCTTTCTCTTGCCTGATTGCCCTGGCCAGAACTTCCAGTACCATGTTGAATAGGAATGGTGAGAGAGGGCATCCTTATCTTGTATGGTTTTCAAAAGGAATGTGTCCAGCTTTTGCCCATTCAATATGATATTGGCCTTGAGTTTGTTATAAATAGCTTTTATTATTTTGAGATATGTTCCATCAATACCTAGTTTATTGAGGGTTTTTAACATGAACGGATGTTGAATTTTATCAAAGGCCTTTTCTGTATTCATTAAGATAATCATGTGGTTTTTGTCTTTGGTTCTGTTTATGTGGTGGATTATGTTTATTGATTTGTGTATATTGAACTAGCTTTGCATCCCAGGGATGTAGCCAACTTGATTGTGGTGAATATGTTTTTGATGTTCTACTGGATTCTGTTTGCCAGTATTTCATTGAGGATTTTTGCATTGATGTTTATCAGGGATATTGGCCTGACATTATAATTGAGCGATGAAACAATGAGCTCTTGGGGAAGTTTAGGGCAATATAGATAAAGAGAATGTCAAATAAAAAATTAACAATATCATAATTGACAACAAAGGAATGGATTGTTGAACATTAAACAAGAGACACAAAGGCCAGGCACAGTGGCTCATGCCTGTAATCCCAGCACTTTGGGAGGCCTGGTGGGAGGATCAGTTGAGCCCAGGAGTTGAAGACCAGCCTCAGCAACATAGCAAAACCCCATCTCTACCAAAAATAAAAATGGAAAAAATTACCCAGGCATGGCGGTGCCTGCATGCCTATGTTCCCAGCTGGTAGAGCGACTGAGGTGGGAACATTACTTGAGCCAGCAGGTTGAGGCTGCAGTGAGTCATGTTCACACCACTGCACTTGTGCCTGGGCGACAGAGTGAGACCTTGTCTCAAAGAAAACAAAGAGAAAGACAGAGAGAGAAATATGGGCTGGGCACCGTGGCTCATGCCTGTAATCCTAGCACTTTGGGAGGCTGAGGTGGGAAGATCACTGGAGCCCAGGAGTTTGAGATCAGCCTGGGCAACACAGTGAGACCCTGTCTCTACACCTAATTTTAAAATTAGTCAGGTGGGGTGTTGTGCATCTGTCGTCCCAGTTACTTGAGAGGCTCAGGTGTGAAGATTGCTTGCTTGAGCCCAAAGAGTACAAGGCTGCGGTGAACTATGATTGGGCTACTGTACTTCAGCCTGAGTGATAGAGCAAGATCCTGTCTTGATGATTGATTGATTGCTAGATGGACAGACAGTTGAGATAGACAGAGTTAGCAGGTACTGCCTTTCCTGTCTATTTCAACTTTCTGTCCTTTGAGACGGAGTTTCACTCACGTTACCCAGGCTGGAGTGCAATGGCACAATCTTGGCTCACTGCAACCTCCGCCTCCTGGGTTCAGGCAATTCTCCTGCCTCAGCTTCCTGAGTAGCTGGGATTACAGGCACGCACCACCATGCCCAGCTAATTTTTTGTATTTTTAGTAGAGACGGGGTTTCACCATGTTGACCAGGATGGTCTCGATCTCTTGACCTCGTGATCCACCCGCCTCGGCCTCCCAAAGTGCTGGGATTACAGGCTTGAGCCACCGCCCCTGGCCCAGGTACTGCCTTTCTAAAGGAAGAACATTTATCCTGAAACATAAAGGATATGAAGGATTCAGGCTGCAAAATGTCTAAGTCTAAGGACTCTTGAATGGTTAAATAGTCTGTGGAAAGCATTAAGCGTTGGGGTAATTTGTACAGTTGGCCCTTTGTATCTGTGGGTTCTGCATTCATGGATTCAACCATCTTCAGATCAAACATATATTTGTAAACTTTATGTGTACTGACCACATACAGACTTTTTTCTGTCATTATATTCTAATCAATACAGTAGAACAGGTATTCACATAGCATGTACATTGTATTACGTATTGTAAGTAAACCAGAGATGATTTAAAGTATACGGTAAAGATGTGTATAGGTTATGTGCAAATACTATGCCATTTTATATCGGGGACTTGGGCATCTATATCTGGGTTGGGTTTTGGGATCTTCAGGGGGTCCTGGAACTGAACCTTCACAGATACTGAGGGATAACTGTACTATATTCTAGGTGTTGAACAGATGGACTGTGATAGAGAATAGGAGCCGGGCGCGGTGGCTCAAGCCTGTAATCCCAGCACTTTGGGAGGCCGAGGCGGGTGGATCACGAGGTCAGGAGATCGAGACCATCCTGGTCAACATGGTGAAACCCCATCTCTACTAAAAATACAAAAAATTAGCTGGGCATGGTGGCGCATGCCTGTAATCCCAGCTACTAAGGAGGCTGAGGCAGGAGAATTGCCTGAACCCAGGAGGCGGAGGTTGCGGTGAGCCGAGATCGCGCCATTGCACTCCAGCCTGGGTAACAAAAGCGAAACTCCGTCTCAAAAAAAAAAAAAAAAAAAAAAAAAAGAGAATAGGAAGCAAAGAGTTATTGTTTTGACATGAAGCCTCCTAGGTAAGCAGGAGTTCTTGGAAAGGGGTTTGTATTTTATTGTAAGAACAAGGAAAACTCACTTGAGGAACTTAAAGGATGTATTCTTAAACACTGACCTTCATTGAAATCAATGATAGGTTCAGAATAAAAATGTCAAGGTTTTTCTTCTCTCAGTTGTAATTCACTTGGTCTTCAACAGTGCCAAGATAGCAGATTCTGGCCCCCACCTAAATGTTACCTATGTCGTCAATCAGTAATTTCACTATCTTACATAAACTCTCATATACCTCTGAACTCTTCTTCTTGGACTTTTTCAAATTTTATAACCATATTTTTGAATTATGTATGCCATTCACTTATTGTGAGTGTTGGCTTTTATTTGTTTCATAAAGTTTCTTGTTCTCTGGTGTAGAAATACAAAGGTTTTTTTGTTGTTGTCCTCTTTTGTTGCAGATTTGGATTTACAGTGTGAGATAATCAGCTACATAGAAGTACCCACTTATGATACAGATATATCCTCTACACAACATCAGAGCATATATCAGAGAGAGAAACTCTATGAATGTAAGAAATGTCAGAAGAAATTTAGTAGTGGTTGTCAGCTTATTCTCCACAGGTTTCATATTATTGAGAGACCCTATGAATGCAAAGAGTGTGGGAAGAACTTTCATAGTGGCTATCAACTTACTCTACATCAAATATTTCATACTGGCGAGAAACCCTATGAATGTACAGAATGTGGGAAGAATTTTAAAAGTGGTTATCAACTGACTGTGCATCAGAGATTTCATACTGGTGAGAAAACCTATGAATGTAGGCAGTGTGGAAAGGCCTTTATATATGCCTCACACATTGCTCAGCATGAGATAATTCACAATGGTGGGAAGCCTTATAAATGTCAGGAATGTGGGAAGGCCTTTAGTCAAGGTGGACACCTTAGAATTCATCAGAGGGTTCATACTGGCGAAAAACCATATACATGTAAGGAATGTGGGAAGACTTTTAGTAGGTGTTCCAATCTTGTTGAACATGGGCAGATTCATACTGATGAGAAGCCATATGTATGTGAGAAATGCAGAAAGGCCTTTAGAAGAGGTCATCAGCTCACTGTACACCAGAGTGTTCATACTGGTAAAAAACCATATGAGTGTAAAGAATGTGGGAAGGGCTATACCACTGCCTCATACTTTCTTCTACATCAGAGAATTCATAAAGGTGGAAAACCCTATGAATGTAAGGAGTGTAAGAAAACCTTTACTTTGTGTAGAAATCTTACTCAGCATCAGAATATTCATACTGGTGAGAAACTTTTTGAATGCAAGCAATGTGGGAAGACCTATACTACTGGTTCAAAACTCTTTCAGCATCAGCAAACTCATACTGGTGAGAAACCCTATGAATGTAAGGAATGTGGAAAGGCCTTTAGCTTATGTGGCTACCTTAAACAACATCAGAAAATTCATACTGACGTGAAACGCTTTGAATGTAAGGAGTGTAAGAAAACCTTTACTTTGTATAGAAATCTTACTCGACATCAGAATAGTCACACTGTTAAGAAACTTTTTGAATGTGAGGAATGTGGGAAAGCCTATAGTACTGGCTCAAACCTTATTCAACATCAGAAAACTCATACTGGTGAGAAACCCTATGAATGTAAGGAATGTGGAAAAACCTTTAGCTTGCATGGATATCTTAATCAACATCAGAAAATTCATACTGGTGTGAAACCCTATGAATGTAAGGTATGTAGAAAAACCTTTACTTTCTATAGAAATCTTACTCTACATCGAAGTATTCATACTGATGAGAAACCTTTTGAATGTAAGGAATGTGGGAAGACCTTTAGACGTAGTTTACACCTTACTGCACATCAGAGCATTCATGCTGATAAAAAACCCTATGAACGTAAAAAATGTGGAAAGGCCTTTAAAATGTATGGCTACCTTACACAACATCAGAAAATTCATACTGGTGGAAAACCTCATGAATGTAAAGAATGTGGCAAGGCCTTTAGTCGTGCTTCAAACCTCGTTCAACATGACGGAATTCATACTGGTGAGAAACCCTATGTGTGTAAGCAGTGTGGAAAAACCTTCAGATATAGTTCAGCCCTTAAAGCCCATCAGGGAATTCATAGGAGTATAAAAGTATAAGACCATAAAGAGTACGAGAGCACCATTCATCATCAGACAGTCCACAATGGTGAGAAATGATGGAATGTTAATCTTATAGATATGTCTTTAGCAAATGAGAGAGTTAAAATGCAGTTCTTGCCACATTAGAAAGCATTCAATGTCCTGTCTTAATGGAACATCTGACTATTCAATGGTAAATTAAGAAAAAAAAACCCAGGAATTCCAATTTCTTCATACCTACAACATCCATGGTGTGTATTTTTTATAATCTTATTAATTAAAAGGATGATGAAAAGCATTTCATACTAGATTTCAATGGAATATTACAAATGACCCCAAGACTTAATGTCTTATCACAACAATAAACATCACTCATAGGTTCTGAGGTTCAGAAATTCAGAAGAGGCTTAACAGGGTGCTTTTGAATTGGGTTCTCCATGAGCTTGCAGTCTTCTGGAGGCTCGTTAAGGATGAAGGATCTGTTTTCCAGATAGCTTGCTCACACTGGCTGGCTGGCTTAGAGAGTGAGTGCCAGGAGAAAGCTGTTCTCATCCACATGGGTTCAATTTAGATAAGGAAATCCTGGACTGAGAGTAATTGATGCTACAAATGAATGAGACTTTGGAGCTGCTTTTTTTTTTTTTTTTTTTTTGAGACAAGGTCTTGCTCTATCACCCAGGCTGGAGTGCAGAGGCATAACCATAGCTCACTGCAGCCTTGAATTTCTGGGCTCAAGCAATTTGGGGGCTCCTTGAACATATTTTGCATGTCGTAGAAATATAAGCAGTTTGTACTCAGAGTGCCAATCATAGTGTTTCAAAAATATGCCCTCAAATTCTTTGAAACGCCACACTTCAAACTTGAAGTCTGGCCAGGCATGGTGGCTTATGCCTACAATCCCAGCATTTTGGGAGAATGAGGCAGGTGGATCACTTGAGGTAGTTCAAGACCAGCCTGACTAACATGGTGAAACCCCATCTCTACTAAAAATGCAAAATCAAGCCGGGCGCGGTGGCTCAAGCCTGTAATCCCAGCACTTTGGGAGGCCGAGGCGGGTGGATCACGAGGTCAAGAGATCGAGACCATCCTGGTCAACATGGTGAAACCCCGTCTCTACTAAAAATACAAAAAATTAGCTGGGCATGGTGGCGTGTGCCTGTAATCCCAGCTACTCAGGAGGCTGAGGCAGGAGAATTGCCTGAACCCAGGAGGCGGAGGTTGCGGTGAGCCTCCTGAGTAGCTGGGATTACAGGCACACGCCACCATGCCCAGCTAATCAGGAGGCTGAGGCAGGAGAATTGCCTGAACCCGGGAGGCGGAGGTTGCGGTGAGCCGAGATCGCGCCATTGCACTCCAGCCTGGGTAACAAGAGTGAAACTCCGTCTCAAAAAAAAAAAAAAGTCCCAGTCCCCGGTTACCAAGGAGGCCAGCGCTGCCTGAGGGGCTAAGATGGTCTCAGGGCCCCACCCTGAGGAGCTCACACCCATCCAGCAGGCAGTCGCCCTTGGGGTCACTGCAGTGATTCTACACGGTGGACCCTCACACTCAGGGCTGAGGCCTCGGAATAAATGAGCTCCGGAGTTCTCTTCCTAAAGTTACCTGGATCGGTTTCTTCTCCGACCCGCCTCCTCTTGGAGCTGAGAACGCACTGACTAATCCTCAAGACTGGGGACCCAGCATTGGCCGGTTTGCGCATGCGCACTCCTAGGCCAAGCGGTCACTCCCAGAAGTCCCCGAGGCTGGGTCCGTGGGCGGCGCGCGCAATCCCCGTGGTCACCGCCGTTATTTCTTGTAGGTTTTTAGGATTCTGGACTCCACTTCACTCACCAGCGCCTGCTGTCCTGAGTGTTCTGGCTTGGACTACATATTCCACAGACGACGGAGAAAACTTGGACCCCTGGCTCCAGTTCCGGGACTTCTGCCTCTGCGCTGCGCACGACCTGGTTCCACCTGAGGAAGAAGGCGGCGCGGGTCGCTGCGGGTGCCTCTTCATCTCCAGCCCACAGCACCCGTGGGATCCTGCGTAGCGGTGAGAGTGGGGCTGCAGAAGGCGCTCAGAGCGCGGAGGCTCTGGGCGTGGGCCGGCCTAGCCTCCCGCCTCCTCAGGCCCTGGGATGCTAGAGCTGCGGAGGAGGGGCTCATCTCTAGGAGACAGGCGGGGAGCGTGAGACCGCGCAGCGGCGACAGGACAGGCGTGTCTGTGTGATGTGGGTACAGTTGTGGGAATGTGAGGGATGCGCGGTCGACCTTGTGTGACCTGGACATGTGGCGCTTATCCTTTGCAAAGCGTGCTTTGCTGGGCTCTGTGGGGCCGCTGACCCTTGGCTCCAGGTTCCCTGCTGCTTCCTGTGCCCTCCTCTCAGACTAGTACGACTGCAACAGAGAAATGGTCCCAGTGGGAAATCAGACACTGAGCCTTAGATAAAGGTTTCCAGTGAGAAGAAAGGTAGGATGGGAAGCTTAGAAGAGGAATTGCCCTTAAGACAGGTATGATACATTCTGTTAAAGAAAAAAATATTCAGTGACACTTGTTAAAGCATGCAGAAGAAGCCTTTATTCAGGACCATCGGTAATGGGTATCCTGGCGGGGAGATTTTTGCGGTGGGTAAGAGACCTTGGGCTCAACTCCGAATTTAGTATAAATAGGTGGGAATTTATAGCCAAGAAGGTTAGGGATCACTGATTGAGAAACTACCAAGAGGAAATGTCTGGGATAAAGAGGATTCTGACTAAAGGCACCTAAGAGGATTATTTCTGAAGAGAGAGACCTGGGTGATAAGACTATCACCTGGGGGACCATGGAGGATGAAGATAGGGAGGTGAAGAGTTCTTGCTGAACTGACTTAGAATAGTTCTTTGCGATAGCCAGATTTTACATTGAAGTGTACAGATGGGCCTAGCTAAGGTGTAATAGCTTGAGTAAAGTTTGGTCAGTCAGAGTTTGTCAGTTTTGAGTGTAGGATTCCTTCCTGGAAAAGGGTTGTTTCTCCACCCCCACCTCCCGGTTCTTGGAGTTTCATTTACATGTTTAACAAACATGGCCTTCTTGAATTCTGACCCCAAGAACCTGCAGTGAAGGATGATTGGAGATTCAATTCAACATACTTCTTTCTGGTTATGTATATGAAATTACGCACTTGTAGCCTTGGAGGGGGCAAACATAAGCACTAAGTGTTATGAGATAATTTTGGATATTCCATTTTGGATTTCTATAGATCAAAAGCTACAAGAATATGAACTTAGCTGTGGTGTGTCCTTGCAAATGAAGGAAGTGAGCCAGAATTTAAGTTTTCTGAAATAGAAATTCCCATTCGTTGGTCTGTGTTTGTGGACATTACAAACCCCCTGAAATTCTATAAGGAATTGCTGTACATGTTTGTTAATTTGCATTTTTCTAGGATGTCTATAATCACATTATTTAGACTTGGGTTTTAGATCTGGAATCAAAGAGCTTTATACCTTTGAATAGTTTTGCAGAAAAGTAATGCGATTATGGGAATGGTTAAGACAATGATACAACATCATGGGATTGGATATTATACGGATAATAAGATTTATTGGGCCGGGCGCAGTGGCTCACGCCTGTAATCCCAGCACTTTGGGAGGCCGAGGTGGGTGGATCACGAGGTCAAGAGATCAAGACCATCCTGGTCAACATGGTGCAACCCCGTCTCTACTAAAACTACAAAAAATTAGCTGGGCATGGTGGCGCGTGCCTGTAATCCCAGCTACTCAGGAGGCTGAGGCAGGAGAATTGCCTGAACCTAGGAGGCGGAGGTTGCGGTGAGCCGAGATCGCGCCATTGCACTCCAGCCTGGGTAACAAGAGCGATTCTCCTGCCTCAGCCTCCTGAGTAGCTGGGATTACAGGCACACGCCACCATGCCCAGCTAATGTTTTGTATTTTTAGTAGAGATGGGGTTTCACCATGTTGACCAGGATGGTCTCGATCTCTTGACCTCGTGATCCACCCACCTCGGCCTCCCAAAGTGCTGGGATTACAGGCGTGAGCCACCGCGCCCGGCCTTCAAAATCATTATTTAACTGGTTTTTCAGAGAAGAGTGAAAGGGTCATGGCCACATTTACTGCGTGTATAATGTGTACCCAAAGTTATTTGACCTATTTTGTGTACTGGTTCCCTTTAAATGGGCAGAAGCCATTTCCCTGTCCATTACGGAAAGAATCCTTATAGAGAATTATTTCTAGTTATGTCGAAGAAATACAGCTAAAGGCTATTCAAGAAGACAAAGTGTTACATGTTTTAGTCACACTGATTTTTCATTCTCGGTCTAATATTTGGATTTCTTTTAATGACACATATACCCTCTCCCCATAATGATACTTTTAGAAATAGTTTATTACTACTTTGAAATATCTTGAAGTTACGTTTCTGATGATGGAATTAAGGCAGGTTCATCACAAAAATTTCATTCCCTAAGAAGAAAGTTAGAATTTCAAACTTTTCAAACATTTCAAAGAAGAAAGTTAGAATAACCCAAACCTCCCTGACCAGAGATAATCACTTTAAAAATTGGGGTGTGTTATGTTTTCAGTTTTCATGCATGAGCACTTGTGTGTGATTTTGTTTTTACAGAAGAGAATTAAAGAAATAATAGAGATATTATAGAGATACAACTAGAGATAGAGATACAAAGACTCCAACTTTTAGTTAGAAAAAGGAATCTAACCCAACCATGGATATTAAAGCAGTATTATGAGACACCATTACTGTGGACTGAGCTCCTGCACTAGGCTCCAACAAACAAGACTAAACCAAAATGCAGTCACTCATGCTAAAACAGCATTACAAAACTGAAACTTTAAGGGAGCAGTTAGAGCGCCAAACAAGATTCCAGTCTACCCGAGTCAGCCTAATAAGGAAATTACCTGTGCTTTAACCCTTGCAGAAAAAAAGGAAACTGAAGTAACCTGATGGTCACCAGTCAATTTTTTTTTTTTTTTTTTTTTTTTTGAGACGGAGTTTCGCTCTTGTTACCCAGGCTGGAGTGCAATGGTGTGATCTCGGCTCACTGCAACCTCTGCCTCCTGGGTTCAGGCAATTCTTCTGCTTCAGCCTCCTGAGTAGCTGGGATTACAGGCACACGCCACCATGCCCAGCTAATGTTTTGTATTTTTAGTAGAGACGGGGTTTCACCATGTTGACCAGGATGGTCTTGATCTCTTGACCTCGTGATCCACCCGCCTCGGCCTC